CTCCCACTTCTGGGTCGGGTATGAAATTTGGCCCTACCCTTTCTGCTTCGTTGGTGTTGACTGTCGCAGGTGTTACGTAACCATTGTCGGCGAAATGGTAGAAGACTTCGGCGTTGTTACTGTCGCGAGGATTTTCCTCATCCATGGGCACGTCGACGGAGCAGTACGGAAGAGGTCCGGCTTCCTCCGATGCGTTGTCGACGTTCTGCTCATCCCAGTCTGCTTCATCCGCTGCTGACGCGAAGGCTCGGTCACCACGAAAGCCACTGGTGAGGTCCCGATTCTCGTGCAAGTTGGCGAGGTACGTTTGAAGGGTGAGTCGTTCGTAGAAGATCACATCACGTGCTGCTACTGTTTCTTTTGTGTGGACGTCGAAGATTCTCCACGCGTTGTAATTTTTCTCGATGCCGAGGTGTAGTCCCCACTGTGCCCGTTGTGAAAATCTTCCCGCTCGTGCTTCTGGGGGTCTGTACTGTACCATGCACCCGAAAACTCGTAACATTTTTGTGCTGCCCTGCTTCCCTGTCCACAGCAGATGCGGTGATGCGTTGTTCGGGAGTGACGACGACGACAACAAGTTGTGCAGCATGACAGCATGGTCCATTGCTGCAGGCCACTGGTGGTTGGGTAGCCGCATGCCACGTAACAGTTTGCGCATGCTGTTCTGCAGGGTCCTGTTCATTCTTTCTGCAACACCTTGCTGCTGATGTGCGTAGGGAAGGGAGAGGAGTTGCTTGATCCCCCTTTCCGCCAGGAACTGCTTGAAGCGCTGAGAGGTGTACTCGCCACCTCCGTCTGACTGGAAGCTTTTCAGTTGCGTTCCAGACTCTCTCTCTGCTATCGGTAGCCAGGCGGCGAATGCTGCGAGCGCCATGTCGCGGCTGGGTAGGTTACGATGCCAGACGTATCGAGTGGCGGCGTCGATGAAGGTGATGGTGTAGTTGTAGTTGACTTGTCCTGGTTCGCGATTGTAGAGGATGTCGCTGTAAACCTTTTCAAGTGGTGCGTACGCTGGTGCGCTCGGGTTGTGATGTGGAGCGAATGGTCGATGAGGTAAGTCAGCTTCGGGGCATGTAAGGCAAGTCCCTCGTGCCTTTTGGAGTTCTCTGCCGTCGGGTAGAAGTAGAGAGTCTTTGTCAAGAACTCCCGCTCTTATCGTGTTATTTAAAACCGTGTTGCTTGGATGTCCTGTGCGTGCGTGCCAGATCTCTTCAGAGGCGCGGTGTCCGGGTGAACGTTGGTATGCGTCGGAGTTGGAGTAAAAACTGGCGACGAAGTTGGCGCTTCGGTGGACTTCGCGTTGAGTCGGATTTAGCTGTTGTGCGGGTGTTGGTGGTGCTTCGTCGACTGTGACTGGTGTCGTTGTTCCTGCTGCTGCTGATGTTGTCGCTGCTCCCGATGTTGTTGCTGCTGCTGCCGATGTTGTTGTTGCTGCCGATGTTGTTGCTGCTGCCGATGTTGTTGCTGCTGCCGATGTTGTCTCTGCTTCTGTTGTTTGTTGAATCGTCGCTAACGCTCGTGTTCGTTCTGCTTCAGGGATAGTGTGGGAGTACCAAAAACCTCCCGGGCTGAAGTCGGGGTCGAGATCTGGAGGGTGTGTCCAGTCAGTAAAATTCACGATGGCGTCGCTGTCTGCAGTGCCCAGGTCAGGAACGAAGTCGAGGACGAAGACGTTGTTCTTCAATACTGCTTTCCCGATGTAGAGACCGCCTCTCCCGTGGTATAGCTTGAACTCTTGGGTGGTGCTGTCGGCTTCCAGGTGAATCCCCTTCGCCATCAACTGGCTAACACTCAGTAAGTTGTAACCGAGTCCTTCAGCGATGAGTACCTTTGACATGTGCAGTATGACATTTGTTTCTCTTGACTGAAGCTGTACCACTCCTTGTCGTCGTGTGCGCAGGTTTTGATTGTTGGCGACTGTGATGACAACTTCTCGTTGGAGTCGGTGTTCGCGTTGTACGAAGCGTCCGGACGAGCACATGTGTTGCCCGCAGCAACTATCCAAGAACCAAGTGTCTTGGCCGGACGGTTCACTTTGAGCGATGGCGGCGTAAGTCGGATCCGGGTGGAGTGATTCGCGGCGGGGCGTCCTGTTGTCGAGCTCCTCTTCTGGTGGGTAGTGGGGTGGTGACTCTGTTATGCAAGAATCGTTTATCTTGACCATGCAGTTGACTATGTTTCTTGCTCCTTGTGCAGGTTGTCCAGTTGAAGTCGTTGAAGCTTGAATCGTGGTTGTCGGACTTGCTTGTGTCGAAGCAACTTGGGAGCTTGAAGGCCGCAGTTGTCGCTGTGGTGTTATCTGACGGGACGGGCAATGCGTGCGTGGATGTCCTGATGTTTTGCAGATGTGACAAAACGGAGGTACTGGCTTCGGCTGCTGCTGTCGGTTGTTGTAGTAGTTGTGTCGTCGCTGAGTATGGAAAGCGAACTCCGGTGCTAATGCCTTTTTCTTGTGCCTTTCTTCTTGCAGGTCCATGTCCTGCTGCTCGGCGTGGATTTCGGCGCAAAGTGCTGCTTCAGAGATTCTTCCGTGGGCTCGAAGAATTGCTTTGGTGGCGCGCCACTGAGGACCGAGGCCACCGATGATGACTGTCACGAAGGCGTCTTCAGAGATTGATCCTCCGCATCGAAGAAGCTTGTCGCGCAATTCGCGACATCGGCTGATATACGCCAGTCCCTTTTCTCCTGGTTTCATTTCAACTGTTGTCAATTGCGCCATTAACCTGCTCTGGCTTACACTGTCTGTTGCCTGATACAGGTTCTTCAGATGGCCGTACGCGAGTTCCGCCGAGTTGCCGAAGTTCCGGTAAGAGCGAATGTTCTGCTGCTGAGTTGGTGTGATGTTTCTCAGTAGAATAGTATACGCCATCATCGATTGATACGTATACTGCTGCTTCTCATACTGTGTGCCGTTTGCTGGATACTGCAGGGATCCGTCGAAGAAGCCGAGTATCTGCGCGCCCTCCATCATCAGCTCGAATTCAAAGGACCAGGTGAAGAAGTCCTTTCCGTCGAAGGGACTTGATGTTTGCAGATTCAGGACATGCGCGAATTGTGACTGAACTTGTAAAGCGTCCATTGGTTTGTCTTGCGCAGGTGAAGGTTGAGGCAGGAAGCTGATCGACCCGCGCTCGTACGGGGCAAAGGTGGGTTGCTGCTGTTGATTCCCTCGCGCATATGACGATCCATCAAGGCTCATGGGTGTCGCTCCGTTGTTGCTGTTGTGTGTCTGTGCAGGTCCCGACTGCTGGTGTTGCTCGTAGAAGGACATGAAGGAGAAAAATTTCTCCATCATGCTCTGGTCGAAGTCAGAAGGATGGTTCGTGGGGGTCTCGGTTGACGTTCCCCTTGGTCTTGCTGCCGTGCCTTCCTCTGTCTGCAGGCCAGAGGCTGGCGGTGGAGTAGGAGTAGTGCCCGAGGAGCCATTAGGGGAGCTCCTTTCCTTGTTTGTTGCCATGTCTTGTAATGATCAAAAAGTTAGAGTTTTCCCCTGTCAGCTCTCATACCATGTTGGGCTGAGAAAGCCCTTAAGGATCTTTGCAGAGGATAACTCTGGGTAGGATATTTGTAATAGCGGAAGCGTTTAATGAAGTTTGTGAACCGACCTTGCACTAGTGTGTGAGAGCAAAGTGGATTGAATTAAACAAGCAAATACAAGGTTTTATATAAGAGTACAGGGAATACGAATGGATAGATAACAGTATTTGCTGTTGCGATTCGAGACAGTGCGACTCGGGCAACTGCTCTGTAACGAGTCAGTTGTGTGTCCTTAACTGTCGCGCTGTAATTGTCGAGTCAAAGGTCGCTGACCTTTGACTTTCCCGTAACCTCCAGGCGGTTACCCTAACCTCCGAGGTTTGACTCGATGCTTCGATTCGGACTGCTTCGCTAGTGTCTTGGGTTTTGACACGACAGAAGCGCACTAAGACTTATTGTTTCCAACAGATGTATCGTGCCCTTACGTCTGTGCATTAACCAAAATGAACGTTTAGCTAGAAACACAATCAGACTTGCTATTGGTGTGAACTCTGATTGATTAGCCTTTTTTTTAACATACTATGATTTTTTTTTGTACCATGTATGATTGATCAAACAAAAACTTTGTACTAAGGGCATGTTCCTACGGCCCTTTATCAGGCCAACCTCTTATCAAGCTCACGTCAAAACACACTGAAAATTCCCTAAACCCACAAACCCTCGCTACTTTTACCAGGCAAGGCTGACAAGAGGTTTGCCTGATAAGAGCGTAGGAACATGCCCTAAGGCTGACAAATATGACAGCACAAAATACGAATATGAGGGCCTGTTCCCTGCGTAGGACCAACTTCTAGGTTCCGCGACGCTGAAGATGATTTTAAAATCTAACACCGACAGTAAGATGGATTTCATATGACAATGATGACCCTTGTAGCATTTTCTTACATTGTCGGTTCTGAGTGTGCTCTCAGATGTTGGAACTGATGTGTTATAGCTGTCTTGCACTAAGCCATGGGATGTCACATTCTCATTTCGAAGTACCTTATAGAGACTTGAGCTCAACGAGACAACGAATCGAGTTTCCCTTCTAGCGATTTTGTGGCATCGTGTGTGCGACTTCGTGCCACTTCTGCCTGGTAGCATGAGTATTGTTATCGCGGATAGCTACCCCCAAGGCATCCCCTGGTGCTGTGTCATTGTAGACCGCGCTGACCATTCTGCGTTAGCGAGTCGCGAAGGTAAATCGCACGTCGCACATGGCGACTACGTCGCTGGACGACAGCTGGCGAGCCTTGGGGTTGCATGATCCACCGTCGGCGATCCTTGATGACGTCATCAACGCCGTACGAACTCCACCATCTATCTAGTTTCGTCTCGTTTACCTGAAACATCAGCTCGCCACGTGTCCTTTCAGCAGACGCATCGATACAAATTCTTACAGCCCAGGAGATACTAGACGTCCTCATCAGATTCATTAAGTCTCTTGTGTCGACTCGCGATGCGCCTTAAGAAGGGAGCAGCCTATGTGGGCTGACGGCCTTTGCCGCCTGCGTGACTGCGTAAGGTCGCCGCTGTTCCATACGGTTTTGAGACGTCTCAAAACGCCTCGGTTCCGTACGGTTTCAACATCGTTTCCCCACCCCACTCCCCACCGCCACTCCCTATCGCCACTCCCCACCGCCGCTCCCCACCGCTCCCCACCGTTTTCCACCAACATTCGTTATCTGCTTGTTTGGCAGGAGGCGGAAGGGAAGCGAGGAGGCAGTCGGGTTGGAGTGTCTAGGTGCCATAAACTAGAGGACCTCAGGTCCTGAACCTGGACGAATGTCTAAAAAAATGGTTGGAATCTGGACCACATGCTTTAGACATCTGGATGAACTGAGTACCACAATCGTCAAATCTTTGGGTCCTGCCTCTTTCTTTTTCCCTCCGTTCCCCCTATTTCCCGTTCTCGCTGCTCCCCCGTTCCCCCTGCTCCCCCGTTCCCCCTGCTCCCCCGTTCCGCCTGCTCCTACGTTCCCCCTGTTTCCCCGTTCTCCCCGCTCCCGCATTCCCCGTCCTCCCCCGTCCCCTCTGGTCCGCCATTCCCCCTGCTCCCCTGGTCGTGTGCATGGGACCTCAGGTGCACGAGACGTGGCTGGATGGCATTGAGGAGCTGCGCAGGTGAGCTGAGAGCTGCCCACAGTGTGAAGGGGAAAGTGTCTTTCTCAGAGCCCAAGTCTTAGCAGTATATTGAAACGGGGACAAGGTGCACGGGGCCTCAGGTGCACGAGACGTGGCTGGACGGCATCGAGGAGCTGAGGAGGTGAGCTGTGAGCTGTGAGCTGTGAGCTGTGAGCTATGAGCTGCCCACAGTGGGGGGAGAGAGTGGGCGGCGAGAGTGGGTGTAGAACTAAGTGTTCTTCGAGTTGGCCCAACCCTTAGCAGAAAAAAGGAACGGGGACAAGAGTGGGTGGCAGTGAGTGGGTGGCAGTGAGTGGGTGGCAGTGAGCGGGTGGCAGTGAGCGGGTGGCAGTGAGCGGACGGGTGACAGAGAATGGGAGGCAGAGATTGGGCGGCGTAACAGTGAGTGAGAGAGTGGTTTGAGAGAAAGTGGGCGTATGATTATGCATGCAAGTGCCTTGGCGTTTCAATCTGTATTTCCTGTTTCCTGTTTCCGCTGTTTTGTTAGCCTCTCTTAATCATTTCAGAAGAGGTCAGACGCTCTCTCTCTTTCTCTCTTCGCCTCACCAATTGCTCTGTGCTCTCTTCTGGTCTCTCTTCGCATCTGCATGATCTTCTGGTTACGGAATGGCGTTGTATGGCATGCCAAAACATGATCATGGTGTGGTATGACGTGGCATGCCATGACGTGATGTGGCATGACATGGTGTGACGTGGCATGGCGTGTGCACGGCCACAGCTGCATCATGGAGAAGTGCCCTGAAGGGGGAAAGTCCAAGCTGCAACAGGTGAGAGAATGGACGGTCGGGCTCACTCACTCATGCACTTACTCCCTCGCTCCATCCCTCCCTCGCTCCATCCCTCCCTCACTTTCTAACCTCACCCCCTCCCCTTCCTCTTCCCCCACCCCCTCCCCTCCCCCTCTCATGCGCACATCAGGACCTGGATGAAGCATACCATCTGGTGGAGCAGCGCATAGAGGAGCACATGGAGGCCTTCAAGACCCGCGCCCTCGCTACTGCCTTCGCCCTGCCCCCCTCGCTACAAGCACACCTCGCCACGTTGGATTGGGAACAGAGGGCAGCTGCGCCAGCTGGCAGCAATGTTGGAGCAGGCGGGGGTGATGACCTGGCAGCTGAAGCGTCGGCTCTAGATGCTGAGCTGGCAGAGCTCAATGCCACGCTGGAAAAGGTGCGGAGTGTTATCCAGATGTACTATTGCTTTCTTTACTGACTGTTATGCTTTCCTCCCTCCTTCCTCTTCTGCTCAGTCCCTTCACTCTCCCCCTCTTCTATCCATACATGTGCATTTTGATTTGTATAAACTAATACCCTCCTTGTCCTATCTCTCCTCCATTTTTTAGCGCACTCGGTTCTTCCCTTTTTTGCCTCGCACTCCTCTCACTTTTTGTCTACGTTAAGTTTCTCGCACTTCTGCACCATCAGTTTGTCCATTCGCTTTTCATTCATCTCCTCCCTTTCAATCTCGCTCATTTTCTCCGTTCTTCACTTGTCCCTATCGCCCTTACCCACCCATGTTTGCCCCCCTTCCCCACTTGTGTGTGCCCCGCATTCTCACCCATTTCTGCCCGCCATCCTCACCTGTGTGTCCCCTATCCCCACCCATGCGTGACCCCCATCCCCTTCTTCAGAAAAGAGCAGAGCTGCGAGCGATGAGGCGGCAGCAGCGACAGCAGCTGGCGGCAGTGGGGAGTGAGGGGCAGCTGAAGCAGCTGCAGCAGATAATGCAAGCAGACCACAGCGGTGGGTGATGTGTGCACTTATGCATGTGTGGATGTTTGCACTTATGAGTGCACGAGGGAACGACCAAAGCTGCAGCAGCAGGCAGCAGCCACCAGAGAGCAGTGAGGGGCAGCTGCAAGTGCTGCAGCAGATGATGCGAGGCGAGCACCATGGTGGGTGATGTATGTGGGTGAGTGCATGTGTGCATGTGTGCAAAGTGCGTGACCTGTGTATATGTGCATGTGTAGATTCATGGGCGCTTAAGGGAGTGACAAAAGCTGCTGCTGCAGCAGATGATGCGAGGCGACCACAATGGTGGGTGATGTATGTGGGTGAGTGCATGTGTGCACGGATGAGTGCATGTGTGCACGGATGAGTGCATGTGTGCACGGATGAGTGCATGTGTGCACGGATGAGTGCATGTGTGCACGGATGAGTGCATGAGGGAACAACGACAGGTGCAGCAGCAGGCGGCAGTGAGCAGTGAGGGGCGGTTGCAGGTGCTGCAGATGATGCGAGCTGACTGATGTGGTGGGTGGCACGTGCATGCATCTTGGGGGCATGGATGCATGGAAGCATGGAAGCATGGATGCATGGATGCATGGAAGCATGGAAGCATGGAAGCATGGAAGCATGGATGCATGGATGCATGGATGCATGGAAGCATGGAAGCATGGAAGCATGGATGCATGGATGCATGGATGCATGGAAGCGTGGTGGCACTGGTTGCGTGTATGCACAGGTGTTGACTTGCATATTTCTCCTTCCTCAGAAAGCCTCCATCACATTTTTTTCCGTCCGCTTTCTCCGCTCCATGTCCTCCCCTTTTCGTCCGCCCCTTCTCGTCCGCCCCTTCTCGTCCGCCCCTTCTCGTCCGCCCCTTCTCGTCCGCCCCTTCTCGTCCACCCCTTCCTAACCGCAGAGCTGCTGGCCTCACACGATCGACTGCAAGCGCAGCAGCACACAGCCATGGACATGACAGGTGAGGCGTGGGGATGAGACGTGGGGATGAGACGTGGGGATGAGGCGTGGGGATGAGGCATGGGGATGAGGCGTGGGGATGAGACGTGGGGATGAGACGTGGGGGATGAGACGTGGGGGTTGAGACGTGCATTCTCACACCCATGCATTCTTTCCACCCTCTACCCCTCTCTCCCCTCCCCTCCCCCTCTCTTCCCGCCCTCAACACCTCCCTTCCCGCCCTCAACACCTCCCTTCCCGCCCTCTACCCCTCTCTCGCTCTCGCTCTCTCGTTCTCCAGGTGACAGGGTGCCCGCGTCTGAAGAGGGAGGAGGCACGGAGGAGGGTGTGGCGGTGTATGCAGCAGCGCAAGGCGCGCTGAGCGCTGTTCAAGAGCACATGGGGAAGCAGGTGGAGAACGGGGGCTCGGCGTGAGGGAGGAGGGCGAAGGTAGGAGAGAGGAGATTTCTGCAGGGTCAGCAGCAAGAGGGAAGGGTGCTGTAGGGTGCAGCAGAGCAAGATGGGCTGAGTGCTGTTGAGGAGCACTTGGGGAAGCACGCGGAGGAAGGGGGAGAGGCGCGAGGGAGGAGAGGCGTGAGGGAGGAGAGGCGTGAGGGAGGAGATTTACGCAACAGGGAGGAGAGGCGTGAGGGAGGAGCAGCAGGAGGGAAGGGTGCTGTGGTGGTGTGGATGAAAGCGTAAGAGGGCACACAGGAAAAGGCTGAGGAGGTGGAGGGGGAGAGAAGGGGGTTGGGGAAAGGAGAGGACGGCATGGCTGTGTAGGCCACAGATTGTAGTGGTGTGTGTGTGTGTGGAGTGGAGGGGTGTGTTGAAATCTTTTGTGAGAATTCTCAGAAGTGTGGAGTGGAGGCGTGTGGAGTGGAGGCGTGTGTAAAGTGGAGGGTTGTGCCAGGGAAGGGACCCCGCAGTTGGAGGATGGGAGGCAGAGACTTGCGAGGATGAGGGCAGAGCAGCAGCAGCAAAAGGGAACGTCACTCTGGTGGCAATGGCAAGAGCACAGGGAGAGGAGCAGAGAGTGGAGTGGTGTGTGGGTGATTGGGGGATTATTGATTGTATAGGTATGTGTACAGGTAATGGGGACCAAGGGATATATGTGGAGGATCGCACATGAGTTTTGTTTCCACAGATTTCAATGAGGAATGTAGTATTTGCATCATTCAGATCAGAGCCAGTTGTTGCTGAGCAAACAGCTCTTTGACGTTGCTAAGCAAACAGCTCTTTGACGTTGCTGAGCAAACAGCTCTTTGACGTTGCTGAGCAAACAGCTCTTTGACGTTGCTGAGCAAACAGCTCTTTGACGTTGCTGTAATTGTAATACTATCCACAGCCACACATCCATGTGCTTGTGCGACTCCTGCGAGGCATTGTAGCAGCTTCAGCCTCTCTGGCACTGCCCCCCCACTGGTTATGGTTCGCATGCAGCTGTGTAGCCTGAATCACTTTACTGCACCCTGTGATGCAAACCATGCCTTGGCTTGAGTCCCAGTACCCATTGCCCACCCCCCGCAACTAAAATGGCTCTCATGTCCACGAGCCCATGGGTGTCTTTTGTAGTCGGCTCAAAGAACTGAGTTGATGGGTGGGTGGGTGCAGTGCTTGCGTCATCTGTGTGGCTGCACGCACAGGGAAGGAGATGTTGGTCGTTACAACTTAGACGCCAGTTGGTGCTAAGAAGGCGGCAATGGGTGTAGCACAGATGACAGTGCAGGCAATGGCATCACATGACTGTGCATTGTGCACACACACGACCCTGTGGCATACCTGTTTAGACCGCACTGCTCTGCGAGGCATGGCATGGGCGTGGCGGGCAGCAGCGTGTGCCCCCATGGCTGCTGCAGCTGCTGTGGTTGCTGCCATGGGTCTGCGACGCACAGCGGATGCGGCTGCTGCTGCGAGCACAAACACCTGGTGGAGGCAGCAACAAGAGGGGCCGGGTGGAGCGGAGGAAGGACAGTGGCGGGATGACACATGGCACAGATAAGCAGCCTCGGCCTCTCCTGCGAGGCACAAACACCTGTTGACGCACAGCGGATGCGGCTGCTGCTGTGAGCACAAACACCTGGTGGAGGCAGCAACAAGAGGGGCCGGGTGGAGCGGAGGAGAGGGACGAGGGACAGCGGCGGAATGACTCACAGCATACACAGGCCACGGGTGGCAGAGAGCTTTTGTGGAATGTTCATACTTGGATGGCAGTTTGTAGCACGGCCACTAGTCGCAGTTATGGCTGCCCCCACAGCAGCAGCAGGCATGGTGATGCTAAGGGTTATGCCATCTCATCCCATTTGTCAGTCTGTCCTCCTCAGTGCCCATGTCACCACACTGCATGTCATCACATTAAGCACCCCATGGCATCTCATCTCATCTCATCTCATCTCATCTCATCTCATCTCATCTCATCTCATCTCATCTCATCTCATCTCATCTCATCTCATCTCATCTCATCTCATCTCATCTCATCTCATCTCATCTCATCTCATCTCACCTCACCTCACCTCATCTCATCTCATGGCACCTCATGGCACCTCATGGCACCTCATGGCACCTCATGGCACCCCATGGCACCCCATGGCACCCCATGGCACCCCATGTGAACTCACTCAACCCAGAGATATTGACCTGACAAGCAAGAGAAACCAGAATTCCATACCCGTCCCTGAGGGCAGTTGAGACATTACAATCAACCGCAGCATCCAACTCACCGAAGCGCGCTAGAGAGCAGCAGAGGCACCATGGAAGGGTTTCGGGTTTAAACCAACCCTCGGCGAGTAGACCACAGAGTCCCGTACTCGCTTCTGATTGCCCCCCTTCCAGTATCTCTCCCTCCTGCCGCCCCGCTCCCAGCTCCTCCAGAATCATCACCCCACCCCACCGTTTGAAACCCCATCCCACCATACAACCCTCCCCAACTCACCGGAGTGAGCCAGAGAGCAGCAGAGGCGCCGTGGAAGGGCGGGGAGTAGACCACTGAGTCCCCATACTCGCTTTTGAGTGACTCCAGTATCTCCCCCTCCTGTCGCCCCGCCCTCAGCTCGTCCCGAATCATCTGCGCAGGGGTGCATGCACGTCCGGGCGCATGTGCATGTGCATGAGTACGTGTATGGCAAAGGTCCGCATGAAGGCTGCATGACAGGCACCCAAGCGTGCATCAAATGGCTTTCTTTCGCCTGTAACTCAGCACGTTTGAGAATTTGTCGCTCAGCTTTCAAGCACACCCACAGACATGCCCATAAAACAAGACAACAATATAAACAAAGCAGCAGCGGGCATGAGGGATGTTATCCATGCCACGAGCCATCTTGCTGCGTGCCATGCCACGAGCCATCTTGCTGCGTGCCATGCCACGAGCCATCTTGCTGCGTGCCATACCACGAGCCATCTTGCTGCGTGCCATGCCACGAGCCATCTCGCTGCGTGCCATGCCACGAGCCTGTTACAACCGCGTCCCGCCCCACAGCTGCTGGCTGGATTTGCTGCTACTTGGTAACCGACTGCTACAGCCATCTTCTTTTGAGGCGCCTCAAAACGGGCCTCTGAAGCCATTTGCCAGAACAATCGCAGCTAATCAAGTGTGGATCGCTAAGACCAGACCATCTACTCCACGCATCAGTTGACACGGCCGCATCAGCAGCCACTCCGCCTAGCTCCTCTCTCAGTGCTCCTCACCTGTGCTCTCCAGCTCCGTGGCTGGCTGGCTTTAAGACCGCCACTTTACTGCTATCAGCATATGCGTTAAAGGAAAGCACCTTGCGCATGCACACCCGTGGGATTCCTCAATGCTCTGGTGCCCGCGCTTGGCACGCCACACCATGCTGCTCCGCACCCACCCCAATGCCTCTAGCGCCGCCACTAGAGCCGCACTGCACTGCTATAAGCACATCCATTAAAAGCACTAACCTTGCGCATGAAAACAGCGACGTCAGAGTTGTAATCCTCAATGCTCTGGTGCCCGCACTCCACACACCGCACCTTGCTGCTTAGCACCCGAGTCGTCGCGCCTGGCCCCACTGGCACACTGAACCGCTATAAGCACATTCCTTAACACCACCTACCTTGCGCATGAAAATGGCCACGTCAGCATTGGATTCTTCGATGCTCTGGTGCCCGCACTCCACGCACCGCACCTTGCTGCTCAGCACCCGCGCCCTCGCCTCCAACTCCGCTGCTCGCAACCGCTGCTCCCGTGCTGCTGCTGCTGCCACCGCTGCTGCATCTGCTGTTGCTGTCTCTGCTATTGGTGCGGCTGCTGCTGGTGCTACTGTTGCTAGCGCGGCTGCAGCTGATGTCTTCCCTTCTGATACTGCTTCTGGTTTCAAAGCAGCAGACGAAGCTTCTGAAACAGCAGGAGCTGCAGCGGGAGGCGCAGGGCCAGCAGGAGTAGAGATTTGACGCGAGTCAACAGGGGCGTTCACGGGAGGCAGTCCCGCGCTGGTGGCCTTACTGCCTGTTGCTCCCATGGCGGCCCGCACTGCCGCCTCACTGCCCAAGCTGTCTCAAGCTCTCATGCGAACGGGTTCGACCACCTACTCCACTAGCAGTACTGCGAAACCCACGTAACCCGCTACTTGCCGCGTCACCGCTCGCTGCACACACGGTGCTGCTGTGAAGTCGACTCAAGCTGTCTCACGCTCTCATGCGAACGAGGCACACCAACCACGTCTCTAGTACTGCGGAACAAGGCTCGAGCGTCTCAGGGAAAAAGAGGTGACTCTTGCGTCGACTCAACGGTAAAATCGGGAGTCCTGCGGAAATAACAGCTGGTGACAGTGCGACAAGAGAGTCAAAAGAACCACCATACGTTCTTAGTCAAATTCTGTCGATTGGATGCAACAACGGTTGTTCGCTCTGCAGCACCCGGTACGATGCCTCAAACGACCGACAAAATTGAACACGCCGCGACGACTAAAGAGTGTGCGATGCGACAGTCGGTGCGCTGGCGCATAGAGCGAGGACTTTGACTGGGGAGGACAAGCAGCCACTTTTTTGTAGTGCGATTGTGGTCTAACGCGCAAACTGAAAACTGTGTTGAAGAAGCTATTGAATGAAACAAGAACGAGGCTAAAATAGGTGGAATCTAGCTAGGCGAGGACCTCGGGCTAGAGAGGTCCGGCAGGGTGGTGTCTGGCGAAAAGTGCGGGTAGCGACTCGGGAGTGGTTCGGGGCGAAAACGTAGGCCGAACCAGCTGACACAACCGCATGTATCGCTAAAGAACAAAGTTGTTTAGACGCTACAATGAACAATGAATTTGAGTGTGGTACATGAAGTTTTACAAGTGAATTAGCCCATATAAATAATGAATTCGCGAGAAACACTAGGGTTATTATATGTTTATTGAAATTGCAGCAAGGAACTATTTACTGTAGCAGATCACACCAGATGGAGTTGGAAGAATGATCACAAGTTCGCAATCCATCATGATACGGTATTGCTGGTAAAGCTCACGGCTGAATCTGGTCTTACCTACAAACAATTTTTACCCTAAACGGATTTAGAGGCAGCAGCTGTAGCAGCGCGCACAGCTGTAGCGGAGGCGGCAGCATTAGGGCGTCGCAGCGAGTGCATGAGGGCAAGCATGGCGGCAAAGAGAGTGAGCGCGCCTGCTTGATGCGCTGAGCCCAGGGAGACTGGCACGTATGTGAGCAGCGCTGATATGCCCAGCGTGACCTGGTGGGGGGTGGCAAAGAGGGGCAATGATCGGGAGAGTGAAACACAGTGTCAAGCTAGCCCAGGGAGACTGGCACGTATGTGAGCAGCGCTGATATGCCGAGCGTGATCTGGTGCGGATTGGCAGAGAGGGTGATTGGAGACGCGAGAAGAGAGTGGCTGTCTACTTTGAGAGTCACAAACAAGCCAGTTTCTGTGCGGCGTGCCGAGCCCAAGGACACAGGCACGTATGTGAGCAGAGTTGATATGGCCAGGGTCACCTGGTGAGGGAATGGCAGGTGAGGGGCAATGAAAGGGAGTGAGTGTGTCAAGACAAGAGAAGACAGTGTCAGGCGAGCCCAAGCTGGGCGTGCCGAACAGTGCGTCAAAGAGATAGGCACGTACGTGAGCAGCAGCAATGATGAGCTCAAAGATCTGGTTGGGGAATGGCAGGTGAGGATCAATGGATGAGAATGTGAACACGAGTGTGATGCCCTAAAGCAAAAAAACACTAGTTCCCCAGAACCCTGTATCCCCGTATCCCTTCCTGCAGTGCAGTGCGGCCAAGGCGGTGTTGAGCAGCCGGGCGTGGCGCAAGTTACGGGCAGGAGACTCAGGTGCACACTTCAATATGCACAATACATTTTACTCAGGCCTGCATACTCTAGTGCACACTTCAATATGCAGGATATGCTTTTAAGATCATCAAAAGCATCCTGCACACTTGTGTACTGTGCTGACTTCCCCCTATCCACACCTGCAGCACCATGATTCCGGGGGCAGTGTTGTGCAACCAAGCAGAGCGAGCAGTGGCAGGGCACACAGAAGAGGGGATATACCCAGTGCGCACTTCTGTGCGAAAACCCCCTTCCCCCCCTCCACCCCTCCCTCCACCCCTTCCTACCTGCAGCGCCGTGATGCCGAGAGCAGTGTTGAGCAGGAGCGCGGAGCGTGGGTGGAGAGGCAGCTTGCGTGCCGAGTACCACATGCCTGTCACTGCAGCGAGTGTGCTTATAGCGAGTACCCTGTGCTGGAACTGGAGGGTGGGGATGGAGACAAGTTAGGGGCAAGGTGAGGGGCGAGGTGAGGGGCAAGATGAGAGACAAGAGTAACGAGAGGTGAAATGAATGGGGTTAGCGGATTTCAAGTAGCCTGTGGCTGCTGCTAACATTTCGTTGTGTGAGACGTTGGAAAGACGATGCACAAGATCGCAGATGTCACACTTCAGGGGTGTGAAATGCGTCTCAAAATACCGAGCTGACTTTTGAGTTGACTCAAAAGATGTTGGAAAGAAGATGAACTAGATCGCAGATGTCAGATTTCACGAGTGCAAAATGCACCTCAGAAATATACTTCTTTCACGCCAAATCCCTTGAAAATCTCAACAGCACCCACACCACGCACTGGTGGTGTTCCGAACTAGCAACCAACCATGACAGCACCCACACACCTGCACGGTGGCAGTGTTTTCAAAGCAGTTGCGGTGCAGAGGAGTCATTTCCAGTACACCGAAACTGCGATAATTCCACACCCCGTACGCTTCCCTAGCCAGACACCCTAAATAGTTTTTGGTTCGAAGACACGGGCACCCTGAAAATATGGGTCTATATTAAATTACCGGAACGTCCAGCCTCACGAAACTTACACTTTACAGTCAGATTGAGAGGGGAAAATCTCCACATCATACTTGTACTTTGGGAAATATCACCACGGGATTGCGTGAGTGTAACCTATATAATTCAAATAATGTTGTGAACCACTCTCAAAATCAGACTAAATGAGGGTGGCTACCCCCGGGCGTGAAGATAAGGGGTGTGGAATTATCGCAGTTTCGGTGTATCTATGGCGGCACCAAAGGGTGTAGGCGACAGCACCCACCCACACACCCAACCACCCACGCACACACGTGCACGACCACGCACTGAATTGACACCTACCCACGCATGTATTCACACACGCACCTGCACGGTGGCAGTGTTTTCAAACAAGTTGCGGTGCAGCGGAGTCATCTCCAGAATCTCCGGGGGCACCCAGTGGTCGCCCATGTGGGGAAACGTGTTGAACGCACGGCCCTGGAGGGGGCGAGGGGAGGTGTGGGGGGGAGGGCACGAGCAAGGTGTGAAGTAGGAGCAACTTGTGAATGTAACCAGTGGTCGCCCATGAGAGGGAACGTGTTGAACGCCCGGCCCTGAAGAGGATGAGGGGGGAGAGTGGGGGGGGTGAGTGGTTGGGAAGGTGGAGTTGGAAAGAGATTCTTCGGCACTGCAGGTGACCCTTCATCTGACGGCTGCAGGTGACCCTTCATCTGACGGCTGCAGGTGACCCTTCATCTGACGGCTTTCTCAAAAGCGCTTGCGAACGATCGGCAACAGCACCCAGTGGTTGCCCATGAGGGGGAACGCGTGACCCTGGTGGGGAGAAGGGGAGAGGATGCACGGCCCTGGTGTCACGAACAGAGTGTAGTTGTGAACCACAGCTGCTTGTGAAAGTCTCTTGTTGTGGCACCCAGTGCCCATAAGGGAGTAGGCGTTGCGTCGAATGCCTGGCTGGCCCGGGTGGTGGAGAGGAAATAACACAAGCAAGAAATGACACTTTGTAAGGCTTGAACACGCTCTTTACAGGGTCCCTGGTGATACCCAGTGGTCGCTTGTGAGAGCAAGGGTGCTGCTGAGGAGGGAAGGGGGAGAAGGGACAAAGGGTGTGTCGAGAAAGACAATGAGGAGGAAAAGACGACAGGAAGGCCAATGAGTGAGGAGCAAGGTGTTGGGCGAGTTGCAGCGCTGAAGGCAGTGCTCGCTGAAGGCAGTGCTCAACACTCACAGCATCATTGCCGGAAACAAACGCCCCGGAAAAGGCAGTGATGCCTAGCAGCATGGCCACTGGACGCACCAGCGGCCGCAACTTTGATACTGCTAGAAGGTGACTTTTAGTTCGGCTTTCGAGTGGTTATTCTAGTGACTGAAAATGAGGCCAGCGTGCTGTCTGCATTAGGAGCACTTGCTGCATGCACCCAGGCGCACTCACAGCATGGCCACTAGACGAGAAGGCAGCAAGTGCTCCTAATGCAGACAGCACGCAGGCAACAAACGCACTGGGAGAAGGCAGTGATGCCCAGCAGCATGGCCACTGGACGAGAGACACTGGCTGCATGCGACAAGAGACACTGGCTGCATGGGACGAGAGATACTCACAGCATCGTTGCCAGCAACAAAGGCACCGGAGAAGGCAGTGACTCCGAGAAGCATCGCCACTGGGTGCACCAGCGGGCGCAGCTTTGCTGCTGCTAGCAGCTGAGCGGGCGTTGATGCAGGCGGCGTGGGGAAGAGGACGTTCAACGCCGTCCAGAATATGCCTGTGGGGTAGCGGAGAGGAGACGCGATGGGAGGAAAATGCGGGGTTCAGTGTGAAGAGAACGTGGGGCGAAGAGAAGTGAAGAGGACGTGGCAGAGGGCAACGAGTAATTAAGCCCTGCATGATACACTGCTTGTGTGCTTGCGATGAGTGAGTGGGAGGTGCAAGGAGGGGTGAGTGCGATAGGGAACGATGAGAAGGAGATTCATAGCCGTGCATGTACCAAGGGCATCGCATGTACCAAGGGCATCGCATGTACCAAGGGCATCGCATGTACCAAGGGCATCGCATGTACCAAGGGCATCGCATGTTGATAGGCGGCAAGGCAAGGCATCTGGCAGATTGCAAGAAATTCACGTGAGAGAAGACGACTAGATGCAGACCCACCTGAGAATGTGACAAAATTCAATGCAGACCCACCTGAGAAGATGACAAGTCAATGCAGACCCACCTGAGAAGATG